ATATTGCTGACCATGAGCTGCTAGGGGTTCATGTCTGGGCTCTGAACCCCTTTAGGCTGGTTCTTCGTCGGATCCTCCGTCGAGCTGTGCGTTTCTCCATGGAGATCTTAAAGGCACCACCTGGCTTCCTAGGCAGCCTGGTGCCTGTAGTGGTGGAGACATTGGTAAGGACAGAGCTTCTTCTCCACTGTGGGCCTCCCTGGGCACTTTGGGGAGCCTACCACTGGGCCTAGACAGTGCCCCCAGCCTGCGTGCCCAGAGGTCCCCACCGTAAATGTCCAGCCCAGCATCCTATCAGCAAGCTAAGAAAGCTGTCCTTGCTTACAAGAAGCAGGAAAACTTGAGGCTCCTTGCCCAAACTGCTGAGCCTTTGACCTCATGACCCCCTTCTGCCACCCTACCGGGAAACCAGTTCCCTATTTGAGTCCCTCTCCCAGCCCCTCAATGTGTATGAGCCTCCAGGGCAAGTGTCCTCAGGGAGGCCCAGGGTGGGGAGGTGGGGGTGGGTTGGTTGCCTTTCACACCTCCTCAGCCCTCTCCACCTCCCCCAGGGAGATGCTTATCCAGAACTGCAAAGGAACTCAGCCCAGGTACTGGATTCCGGTGGGAGAGAAAGGGGTTGATGGGTGAGTTGTGGAGAGAGACCCTCCTTTCAAGGAGACCTAGCTCCACTTCTGCTCTGTCTGGTTCAGATCTCCAACCTGGTGTTAGAGGACGAGGCAGCCTTCCTGGCCTCCCTGGAGCGGGGTCGGCGGATTATTGACCGGACTCTGAGGACCCTGGGGCCTTCAGATATGTTCCCTGGTCAGTGGGATACCTAGCCCATGCACAAGGGACTTGCTGAGACTCGCCAGGGTGGGCAGAGGAGGGAGCTCTGGGCCAGCCCCCTGCCTCATGTCCGCCCCCAACCTCTGCCCAATGTTCCTCTCTCCCTGGACTCTCCTTCCATACCCAGACCCCTCTGCAGCAGGAACACCACCCTGCCTCTCCCTATGTCCACACTGCCCAGCTAGCCCTGCCTCCTGCTTTCCTAGGTTGGCTTCATGCATAGACTGAGCTTCCCTCCTCTCTTGAAATGACCTGTGCCCAGGGAGTACCCTGGACTACCCCCAGCTCTGGCCTTGAGGCATGAAGCCTGAATGTGACCCCTCTCCTGAGGCTACCCAGTATGGAGGGGGTATTTGTGTTTGGCATCTGGTGGCTTCTGCGTGGTTAGAAGGGCCCTGGACCTTATTTTTCTCCCCTTCTTTGTCTAATCCCTCCCCTTGTCAACACTCTTTGTCTCCCTTTCTTAAAGCTGAAGTGGCCTGGTCCTTGTCACTGTCTGGAGACCTGGGGCTCCCCTTGGACATGGTAGAGCTGATGCTGGAGGAGAAAGGGGTCCAGCTGGACTCCACTGGACTGGAGCGGTTGGCCCAGGAGGCGGCCCAGGTACAAGCTGTGGCACCCCCATGCTGGTTCTGTTGGGACACCCCTTCCCCAGCCCTGAGCTCCTGGGGGAAGAGCTGTGGATATTGAGAGAAATCAAGAGTCTGAGATAGGATCTGTCCCCTCACCTGGGAGGTTTCTAAAACCTCAGGCCACAACTTGTAGAAAGCAACACTAGCCAATGGGCTAAACACAAGAGCAGAAGCCAGCACAGCTTCCTGGAGAGGGGCCTTCCAGGGGCAGCGGTGGGCAAGAAGGCCTAATCCCGAGGATCCCACATGATGGATGGTTCACCAACCAGCCCAGGGGCTCTAGCAGGCAGCCAAGCCCTGAATTCTTATTCCAGAAGGGCTGCAGAGTCCACAGCTGTGTGGCAGGGACAGGGCCCTGCGAGGCTGAAGTCCCACTTTCATTCCCCATGTACTTCTTCCATGCCCATCCTGCAGCACCAGGCACGGCAGGCTGAGCCAGTTCAGAAGCAGGGATTGTGGCTTGATGTCCATGCACTGGGGGAGCTGCAGCGCCAAGGAGTGCCCCCAACTGACAGCAGCCCCAAGTACAACTACTCCCTGCAACCCAACGGAAGTTATGGTGAGAGCCTGGACCGAGGTCTGCCACCACAAGCTTGCCTGACCATGACTAAGAAGAATGTCCAAGATGGTTGCTGCTGGCCCTATGTATTCCCCAGGATGGCCAC